AATACATATTGCCTTCCCACCATCATAAAAGTTGAAAACTCTTTAAGTTGAACCATTATAAGCCAGGAACCGTCTTTAATAAAAAACGTAAAGCAAGGTCTATGAAGTAAGTGCTGTAATCAAGGGCAGAGGAATATGGTGAGTATACAGAGAAATGGTCAGAGAAGATGTAGGCTGAATGTGCTTTTTGACCTGAGCCCTAGTAGATTAAAAAGATATAGCAGGATGAAAGGACAGAGAGGCAAAACAGAGTGACAGAAGCATGGTATTAAAAAAGAGCATGGACCTGCTTCAAGTGCTCTCTTTTCTAATGCCACTGCCATGTGCCAACCATGCACTAACACATGGGCTGCTGCTACATGCCTGCTAAAAGGCTTTATAAAGAATTTTAACATTATAAAGGCTAGATCTGGTTGTTATAAAAATGATTACTATCTATCTTTAAGGACATTAGGAAATTTAATTGGACACTCTAGCACACTTGGTAAGATCACAAGAAAAAAAGACTGTTAACACATAGATCAGAATAAAGATTGATGAACGACCAGCACATTGAAAGCTGATGGATAACTTGACTGACCAAAGGAAACTATCCTGAACAAAACAAGCTATGAACTAAACATGCGTGGAGAGAAAAAAAAGTGCTTTCACATATTCAAAGTGGAGAGATTATTGTCTTTCACAATGAATTTTTGTATTCACAAAAGAACACAGACTTGTTCTTATATACCTTGATTTTAACCTGGTGAGACCCATTTTGAACTGTCCTCCAGAAAATGTAACTTACATAAAATAACAAATATGCACCACTTTAAAAAAATAGACTTTTAAAATTTTATCTTAAGTTGATCACCACCCATGCTGTGCTTGCCAAGTATGTGAAATATAATACTGTCTTTATTTGACCTATAGAAACTAGAATCTCTAGGATTCTAGCATTCATTCCCACTGAGGACAAATTATTGCTATCAATCCTCTCATAGGTTTTCATGACAAAGACTACAAGTAGGTGAAGGGAAGAAGGGGTTCAAGGAGAAATGAAAACAAAATGAAGAGATTACATCAGCCAAAGTCACCTTGGCCCAAATAAAAGGATGAAACATACAGTATTACAGTTCCAAAGAACAAAGCAGGCAATGTATAGTTGCCTGGTTTATTGGTCAGAGCATAGTATACTTTTCTAGTAGAACCCAATAGATGAATCAGTGTGTGCAGGAGCTCATGCTTGGGAATGTGTAATTGACAACATTTTGAAAAATGACAGGTCAGTGCCTCTCCGTGCACCTAGGAAGCCAAGTCATTTAGACAGCAAGTGGTCTGGTGGGAGGGCTCCAACATGGCTTGTAGAAGCTACTCATCACACCCTCCTTCAAATCTTCACACTGGGGCTCATGAATACAAAAGGCATGAAAAAGCCAGGATTCAAACCTCAGCTCTATCACTATGGACACTTTTTTTCTTAACTTCACAAAGGCTCGATTTTCTTAAATGTAAAAGAAAGGGTAATCATGAAATGTACTTTATAGCATTTATGAGGATTTCATGCAATCGTATATGTGAAGAACTTTTCAAATACCTGGAACGTAGTCTAGATAGCTAAGATCTCAAAGATTGGGCTGACTCCTTCCTTCTATACCTAAGCCCTAACCTGCTAGAAACTGAACAAGGATGTACATTCATGTTCCCACCCCAGTGCTCAGATCCCAGAATTCTTATCCCAGCCCAAGAACCTCTGTGACTGGGCTGCACTCTGAAGCTGGGACTGCAGAAGGAAGGGTGCTCCCCAGTGCACTGTGCAACGTCCTACACTAGGCCACTGCATCCGGACACTTTGACAACAATGGAGGCACCTCAGCTTTCCCAGAAGATTGTCAGTACAGTGCCCAAAAAAGTTAACCGATGTCAAAGATCCGTGAAAAAGCAAGACCCAAATTCAAAAGGACAGCAAAAGAGGGATTACAACATTATGGACATCTGGGTGAAATAAAAGAAATTAGATTAAATTAATGGACCTTTGAATTAAATTTGGAACATCCTTGCTCTCTGTAATGTTCAGCTATGGAGATTGATGCAGGAATGGAAAGGGCAGGCCCTGTGCCTGGACTTGTACCACTTGGCCTGTCTTCCTTCCAGAAATCTCACAGCAGCATCCCCTTCCAACTAGAGCACTGGAAACCTTAACTGCTGCTCAGCCTCTGTCTGGCTCCCTGCTCTGCTGCACTGCCTAATCAGCCTTCTTTGACTGGAAACTCAATATCCACCACAGAAAGTCTGCAATCATGCTTTGAAGTTATTTGCATCCAGTCAGAAGAACCTTTTAGTTCTAGTTCTAAATTGAGTGCCTTGGTGGTTTCAATCCCCTGATAAGTAGGGCAGCTGGATTCTACAGCAGTCACACTGGGCCTCAGTTCTTAGTCACATCAGTGAATTGATGCATAAAACTGACAGAATTATAAATCTCTTCATGGCGGGTAAGAACGGAAGTAACAGCTAGTCAGTAAAACAGTGACAGTTTCAGGAGTTTGGTTTCAAGGAGAAGAAGGCTAAGTGCTTTGTCCTGGTTTGTTCAGGGCACTTTGGGGTTTAGCTAAATTCCCATAAAGAAAGCACACTGTAATTTGGCTTGGATATCTCCTGGAGATAAGGTTGGAGCCATGCACCACCCAACACCAGCTCATCATCCTACAGGAGAACCTGTTACAGCCCTCGCAATGTAGGTCTTCAGTCTTCAAATGGTTCCCTGTCATTCCCCTGTTCTGCTTGATGCGGCAGAGCCTATGGAACAAAAGAGAGAAATCCTTCAATTCCAGTTTTACCCTTTACTATTCAACTTGGGTAGATAAAACCCACCTGAAAAGGGTGAGGAACAACTAAATATAATCCTATGTGTAAGATACCTAGCAGAAGGCTGAACTATAAAATAGAGACTCAGTAGTGTCACTTCCTTCCTGTCCCTCTCTGCCTTCCCATGCATCACAATCCCTTCCTGTTAATAGTACCTCTCTATTCCTCCATGTTAGACAAATGCATTTCCATTATCACAGGCAGCAGATTTGGCCCTCTGCAGCAGCCCTGTCCAAAGCCCAGTAATGCACAGGCCAGCTTCAGTATTTATCTCAAGGTGACACTTGTAATGGATGATTGCTGCACTTCTTAATCCATTTATGTAATCCTTCCTGCTTTGCTTGCAGTTATTTTCAGGGCTTTTGCCACAATAAAATGGTTCCTTTCCCAGGACAGAGTTCATTCAATTTAAATCTGGATTGATTATAGCTAAACTTATGACATGTCTTTACAAAGGAAATAAAAAACAGCAATAAATTATGCACAGTGATTATTTAGCATTTATTCAGTCCCCACAGTATCCTGGGCTCAGCATATAATAGTCAGGGATAAATCCTGCCCTTCAGAATCAAAGCACAGTTGCACATATGAAAAGGCACACAGGATAGGACACCAATCCAGTTGCCATTTAATTCTCTATTCAAGAGGTCATCTGGTCATATGGCTGTTCTCTGTCTTACCCTCAATGAAATTATCTGACTTCATGGGGGTAATGGTCTCTTGGCCCACACTGTGCCTTCTTTTCTATCACTTTCCCTTAGATGCATTTTACTGACATTGTCCTTAGCCTTTGGCCTCTACCCCTAAAGACCACTCCTTACTGCTCCTCAAGCAGTCGTGATGTATAACGTGTTTATTGGGGCTGGAGTCCAGGACAGGTGCTGTGGTATCTGCCTGACATCAGTGGGATCCCTCCTCTGGTGACCTGGCTGGTGGATGAAGGAAGTACTCCAGGAAATGGTGGAACCTATGCAGACAAAGGGACTTTCTTCTAACTTCATTCTTGTGAGAAGATATTTGCGTATGTCCACACCAGTCAGAAGTTTGGATGACAAATGGATGATTGGATGGATGTTGAGAAAGCTTATTAGAATATTGTTTCTGTAACACAATAATATGAATTTAATTCATATAAATATTTGTGACCTAGATTTGAAAATGGTGTGATGCTCTTAATTCATAGAAGTCTCACTAACCATACCTCTTAACAATCATTTATTTATGTAGAGTAATGGCCAAAAGAGAAAAATAGAGAGAGAGAAAGACCTGATTTTTTTTTTTTTAATTTTGACGATTTGGCTTTAAAGAAAAACATGTGGGAGGATGAGAATCAAATGAATCAAGATGAATAATAATAGCTAGCATTAATTGACTGCCTGGCACACTGCATTTAGTCCTTCAAATATTTGCATGTTATAGATGAGGAAGCAGAGGTTCAGAACTGTTAAGTAACTTTCCAGCTAAAAGGAGGCGAAGCCATGATGTGAAGGCAGCTGCGGCCTTACTGCAGAATCCAAGTGCTTAACCACTATGCTATACTGCCACCTAGAACCCCGTACACAAATATGCACCATATTCACAACAACAAAAAATGCCATTTCCCACAACATTTTGGTTGACTTTGGAGTTAAAATGAAACTAAAACCTTTTTCTTCCTCACATTTACTTGTAAAATTTCACTGTCAAATATATTAGAGGGATTATCCCTCTAATATATCCTCAATATAATTCAAATTATATCTAAGTAATGGCTTAGTGTCAGGATTTATTTAGAATCAAGAAGCATTTTTTTAAGATAAATACAATTATTTTAAATTGCCGAATGTTTCTTTTTTTTTTTTCTTGAGAAATTTTTTTTTTTTTTTGGGGGGGGGCATTAAGAAAAAGTGCAAGGAAATTTGAGCCGAGATAAGGATTTTAGCCAAGGTTTTTGCTTTGTTTTGTTTTTGTTTTCACTTTTGAAGGGCAGATAGGATCAAAAGAAAAATTAGGTTTTCTATCTTAGGTGCCCAGTAATTCAGATCCCAAGGACACGTTTAATTCCTGGGTTAAGGTTGTTCTCACAGAACCTTCCCACTCCATTCCCCAAAATTCATGCTGAGCTTTTTTGCCTACAGCTCTGTGTGGGCTTACACCATGTATGTGTTTGCTTATAGTTGACCTGGACAGGCTCAATGATGACGTCAAGCGTTACAGTTGCACTCCCAGAAACTACTCCGTCAATTTAAGAGAAGAGCTAAAGCTGACCAATGTGGTCTTCTTCCCACGTTGCCTCCTCGTGCAGCGCTGTGGAGGAAATTGTGGCTGTGGAACTGTCAACTGGAAGTCCTGCACGTGCAATTCAGGAAAAACTGTAAAAAAGTATCATGAGGTATGTTATTCTCAAATTCATTGTTGCATTACTGCACTTAGCCCTTTTAGCTGCATCATTTGTGTAATAGTTAGGATACTGGAAGGCAGGGCCATTGCATACAGTCGTTTGGGTTGTTTACTGCACAAGGGCATCCAGCCAGGGCGATGACAGGGAGCTGAAATTCTACTCATGCTAGGCTTGACAAGCCAAGTGCTCTGGTGAGAGGCTAATTCCATCCTGAAGAAGGGACTACTTTTTCTAATTCTCACAATACACAATGTGGGTCAGCAACAGCCTTGTTAGAATAGATAATCAGATGGCATGATACAGTAATTTCAGAGCTTACTTGGTCTCCTTGCAGAAATATGATGGTATTAATTTAACAGGATATGACCAGACGATCTAGGTTGCGATAAGAAAATGATGAGCCAACCTTAATTCAATCAAGTCCTTAAAACAATTAAGCACAGTTAAAGACAGCAAAATATAAATCATCAGAAACTTTTTCATTTTCTAAATATGAAAGTATTCTTCTTTTGGAAATACTCATTTTTTTTTCCTAAATACTATGGGGTGCCACCTGAGGAATCAGCTCTTGGATTATGCAAAAGTAAAAATAAATATAAAAGAAGAACAAAAATTTGACCTATAATAGTAATAGCAAACCTTCACAAGCATTTACTGGGTGCCAAACACTATAGTAAGTACTCATTAGCTCACTTAGTAACTTGTCAGCAATGCTGTAGAGAGGTTGCTATTTCTGTTCTCTTTTTATGTGTATGTAAACTGAGGCCTAGGAGGATCAATAAGTTAACAAGTATGTCACAGTCAGCAAATCGCAGAGCCTAGACTTGAACTCCAATCAACTGGTTCCGGAGTCTATGTTCTTATCACTAGCAATACTGTGCTCTGTGTTCTCTCGATTTAAATATATAGCACTTTATTGAGCATTAAAAAAAAAAAAAAAAAGCAGTAGACTTAAGAGGAGTTAGAGCTGCTCCTGACATTGATGGCAGCTTTAATTTCTTCCTGATTGTGGGAGTATATGCAAATCACTAAAGTTTAGATACTAAGTTTTCACATGTGGGAAATGGGACTAAGAAATTATATCAGATAACCTGTTCCAGAGTTGTTCTGGGGATCAAATAAAATAATGCATAAGAAATGCATTTTATAAAATGTGAAGCATCATACAGAAATATGTTTAAAAATATAAGCTAAGATATGAAGCAAACATTATTGTTAGGAATTACTGTTTGAGTTGCTTTCCATCAATATCCACCCAAAGAAAAGAATAGTTAGTTCTCTCTAAATAAAAATCTCCAGCTTTGTAAAACTGTTTTTTTGGAGTTTTTGATTGTTTTTTATCCTGAAAACAATACAACAGAAATAATAAATTAGGAGGTAGCTTCTGAGCTCAATGAAAACAGGCACATAATAACTGATATTTTCAACTTAGGAAATGTAGGAGCTCGTGCCACCATGACCATGCTTACCCTAGGCAGGGAAACACATTATTTTAGGCCCACATAGGACATATTTTCTTAGTCATAAGAATTGCTAACTCCACCCCACTGTTTTCAAAGGAAAAAAAATGTTCTCATGTCTAGAGAATGCTACTGTCTGTGCTCATTGTGTTTTATTTTTGTATGCACTGATGAACTCTAGATTGGGTGTTGTCCTTCACTTCTAAGAACCTGAATTCTATAATGTTTAGTCATTCCCTGAGAATAAATACAGAATGCAATAATCTGGTTGGAATTAAAATAATCTAGGAAGTGACAAGATCACTATCTACTTAGTAATAACTGAGGAAGAATATTTGAGTTCAGGCCTTGATCTATTTGGGAAGTGCCTTATTTTATCCTGACTCTTTGCTCAGAAGTTTCAGCTTGATTTTTAAAATTGCTTATTGTGGAAATAAATGGCAGACTTAAACATACACCCAAAAGGACTCTTGCCTCCCAGGCAGTTAACTTTGAAGAACTCTGCAAGGCCCAGCTACCCTTCTTCTCTTAGTTCCATTCTCATCTCTGTACACAATAGCTGTTACCTGTAAGTTTCTGTTCACAATTAATGTCCAGAGGGGGAAACCCTTGATCTTTTTGTCCGGTCACGTGAATGGGTCTAAATACTGGCATCCTTTTGAAACTGCACTCTCAAGCATCTCTTTAAAACATGTGTCATAATATTTTTACTTCTAGGACTCCGCAAAGCTCTGTACAAAATCACTCTGCCAAGTGCTGGACTATAGGACAAAACAGCTTCAATCAGTCAGTAGCTGCACACCTGGAACAAACATTTTTGTGATATTTCTCCTCGACGCCTAAAATACCCTTGAAATGTGTTGCAATGATCACTGTTGAGTGCCCAGTGGAAAATAGCAGAAGGCTTGTTCTGTTTCCACAAATGGGGGTTGCTTGAGCTTAGTCTCATTTAGGAAAAATCCTAGTCCTTTATCCTATTCATTCTGCCTGTATTCCTACCTCTGAGAAATGAGAAAGCACTTTCTCCAGCTCACGGCTGCAACCAATGAGATGTGAAATGAGTTGCTAAGAGAGATGAGTACTCTTAAAGGGGTAACGAGAACTTGTCACATAGCAGGCCTATGTGATTCTCATCAAATATTTCAATGTTCAATATTAAGGAATTAAAGTCTGAGAAATTAGAAAGATCCTAATGAAGTGAATAGCACTGCTTTTTTCACATGTCATGCTGCTTCTCCTGTAAGGGTTTGAGCAGTCTTCACCATGCAATAAAATGTGACCATCTCTCTTATTTCCTGCTCTCAAAAGTTTGAAGGTCCCTGTTAAAGTATTTTTCTTCTTTCCTAACAATTGTCCCATGCCTCTTGGAATATAAAGTTGGAGGGGAGAAAAAAACGTCTTTTCTTCTCTCCATCCTAGGTTCATAGCTGAGGCCACTATAACAAAAGACAGATTAACAACAGAAAAGCATGCAAATTTATTTAGTATAAGTTTTATGTGACACGCTAGCCTTCACAAGGAAATTAAGACTGCCCCCAAAACACAGTTCAACCTGAGTGTGTTTTTATAGTAGGTTTGATGAAGAGTGGATAGTCATGGAGAAATATGATAGGGCAAAGAGAATGAATGTAATAGTAACAAACTGGGAGAAACTTAGCAAGGCTTGTTTGTTCAGATTCTTCTCTGTTGTTCCTTTGTCTTCAAAGGTAAGGATGCTCCTTACCTCTGGGAATAGGAAGGGCGTCTCTCTCACGAGGATCTTATATCCTGCTTTATGGGAAAGTCAGAAAATCCTTCCTAGGTTTTATGAACTACTTCAGAGAAGAGCAGAGGGAAGATCAGAGTGACCTTCCTCCTTCTGCCATTTTCTCACATTCCTTCAGCCTAAAATATTTTGAGGTGGTGTGTCCTGAATCCCATCAAAGGATATAAAAGATGTTTTTGGTAGTGATTATCAAAAAGAGAAGGTTCCAGAAAATATATTGTGTAGACAATTAGTGGATACTCTAACGTCATTTTTCTTTATCCCTTGATAATGCCTAATGAAGGAACAGAACATTCCCTACGAATATGGAGACCTTTTAAATTAATATTTACTGTTTTTCATCATTTGGTCTCCTGGCTATGTCCATTCAGTCAAAAGCTAAAAATGTACGAAGCAACAGAAAGAGGAAGTCCTTCCTCTCATGGTTTTTTCAAGATGGTGACATAGCCACCTCCATTCTCTGCTATGATGGGAAAGTTGCAAATCTGCACTGTCCAATACAGTGGTCACTAGCAATGTGTGGCTATTGGGCCCTTGAAATGTGTGTAATCCAAATAGACATTGAATTTTTAATTTTATTTCATTTCATGTAATTGAAATGTAAATAGCCGCACACACCCAGTGACTACCGTATTGGACAGCACAACCCTAGACCCATCCCCGTTTCTGGCACATTTACAGCATCTAGAATCATTTCTGTCTCTGGCAAAACAAAGAAAAAGTTACTCTGGAGGATTCTCTTTATTTTAATGTAGAATTTTGTATTAAACATTTGCATTCCATTACAGTTGAAGAGTTAGGAGATGTAAGTAGGTATTTATATATGAAACCTTAAATTAATTAGAATAATACAGTGTTGACCTTCAGACTTGAGCTAAAAATATATACCTTTGGTTTTTACATGTTTTAAACATCTGTTATTGAAATGAATTTGCCTGAAATTGCAAATTGAGACCAAAGAGACAAAAAAAAATTTCAAGGAGTTTCTATTCTGTGGCAAAAGACAGTGAGTTTTTGGGTGATATCAAAAGTCAGGAAAATCTATTTTCTATTATTTTTCTGGAAACAGCATTACTAGAGCTTGTGGAGAGTCTCCCTGCCTCTTTCCCTTTCTCCACCTTTCAGTGAGACCATGAGTCAAGCTTTGCCTATGTTTTCCTGCTGAGAGAGAGGGCAATAAAGGGGCAAAATCAAAGGACTAGAAGAGAGAAGATTGGGGTTTCAGGTTCAGCTCTGCTACATGGGGAGGCAACCGGGGGCCCACTACTTAATGCTTCCCAGGGCCTCAGGTTTCCTCACTTAATCCCCACAATAACCTGCAATTTTGAATTCCCACGCAGCCCTGAAATGATATGATATCATTAACTTTATACTCTCTCCTACCCTCAAAATCTTTTCTTACTGAAATTGGGTAAGGAATATAAACAAATTGGCATTTGAAGTGCTAGGTAAATGCAAAAGAATAAAGATATGATATGAAACAATTAATGTTTATAGACTGCTTATGAAAAAGTAAATTCATTCATTTTTACAATGGTGATGATAACTGTGCTTCTTACCCCATGGGGATACTGGGTGAACAAAAGCATCTGAAGACTGTAAAGCACAGGACAGATGTGGGTGTAATTATTTGAGAGATTGGTCTAGCTTTCTCAGTTCTGACTACATTTCAGCCCTGATGACTCACTTACCAAGCGAATGGACTCTTCATTTATGCACTATAAAATGTGCACATCCTTTTTCTTCTCTAAACTGGGTGAACAAAAGCATCTGAAGACTGTAAAGCACAGGACAGATGTGGGTGTAATTATTTGAGAGATTGGTCTGGCTTTCTCAGTTCTGACTACATTTCAGCCCTGATGACTCACCTACCAAGCGAATGGACTCTTCATTTATGCACTATAAAATGTGCACATCCTTTTTCTTCTCTAGCTTCACATCAGGCCTTCCTGCCAAAGCTTAGCAAACCTGTCATGAGGCAAGATGCTCCCCAGGCAGCCAAGGCCCATCTGTGTCACGAATGATTCCCAATGCTAATGTCATATTCTGAAATGTATTGCCCAGCCAGCCTCCCATGAAGTTTTCTGCAGTGGGTAGGCTGAATATGTAGTCACTAATCCTCTAAGGTGCTATCAAAATTAAGTAACTATTTAGTTGTGTAAAAGTGGGACTGCAGCTAAATACACCCCGTGGTAACCCTAGTGTGCTCACAGAAAACTTCCATTAGAAGTGAATATTCACAGATGTCAAGGTTGCATTTTTAAAATTCATGAGCATTTTATATAAACCTCCACTGTAAGCCAGACTTTCGTCATCTTCAAACTTAACTTCTTAGCGTAACACTGCTGAACTGTTTGTCATTTATGTCTTTCTTGTTGACTGCTGTGTCTTATGACTTGATATCAGTCTTTCTGTTGCAAAACTCAGCCTCTGCTGTGACTACTGCCTGCAAGTTGAGTAATTATGCAGGCAGAAAATAATATGTTTTGCCTTCTCAAAATATTTTTGCTCATAGTCACTTAGATTTCTGAATAATCCAATATCATCTCTTAAAAATGTTGACTCTATTTTTCATATAAGCATGAAAGAAGTCAAAATAAAAGCAAAAATAGAAAGCTTCTTTTTTTTTGTTTTTTGCCTTAAGAAATGTGTGTGTGCTGAATAATTCCTGCTTTAGAAGTTGGGTAGAATCTTAAATAAACTCTTAATGATTCAAGTTTATACAATGCATTTGTCCTGAAATATGTACTTGTATTCCTATGTCAGCCATTAATTTGAGAACCGTTACAAGGCCTTAACATTCCCTTTTAATATTTCCAATAAACGAGAACCCAATTCAGCAGATAGCTTTTCTGCCTGGTATTGTTTGATTAGTGTAATAGCTTTATGGCAGATTCATTCAGTGGTTTATTGGCAACAAGATGAGTAACTAGTTAAATAAGCTTTCATGACGTGGTAATTTGCAAAACAGAGTATCTTTGATTTTGTATAGTGGTATGAAAACTACTAACTGGCTCAGTCACTCTCCATTTAGTAGAGGTCAAGTTTCCCTGGCTTCATGAAGTTTTCTAGGGTGCAGAGAGGAGTCAAGATTCTGATTTTCACCCATAGGTGCTAAGAAATAGCCGGCTGCCGCTCAGTGGATTTGTATTTCTGTGCGTGTACTAGCAGCTGTGAGTCATAGCTCAGAAAATAGGAAAGAGTTTTGTGATGGAACCTATTAGCAAGTGTCCTTCAGCTGCTGTAATTAATTCAATGGTTCCTTCCCTTTAAAGGTGACCAGATAACCCATAACCAGCCAGTTTGCTTTCTCAGATAAAGGCTTTTCGTCTTTCTTTTAACTTTTCATGCTGCCTCAAATCAGCCTTGCTTTCTTCCTTCTTTCAAGGCTGTGTACCTGAACCTAAGACTATTACATGATCTGAAAGCTTTGAACATCAGTGCTGTGATCAGCCAGTAAAGCAGTCCAATTTCCACTTTGTTCAAATAGTGCTTTCCTGTCTTGTCTGGGAAAAGTGTCTGCCAATTTATTTTTCTCCTCTTATCAGCAAAGACACATATATACTGTGCTCACGTTGCTTAATATAAAACACAGGGAAAAATCCCTGAGCAATCAGAAGACCACTGAGAAAAACTGCCCAGGCTTCTGCTCACATCCCAAAGCACACACTTCTATTTGCCATCAAATGAGAAAGCAAATGGACAGAGCACTGATTTCACAGGTGCCAGTCATCACAAATTATTAGGCCTTGATAATGGTCTTTACACAAAGAATATTTATCATGTGCTCATCTTCCCCTCCCCTATCCCCCAGTCCTCAAATAAGGTTTACACACAGATAGCCTTGGACAATAGCTACTAATTCATATTGGAGAAATTCTTGGCAAAGCTGTAGGGTTCCAACCCCCTACCCCTTCCTTGCAAGGCACTTTTAGTAAATATGAAACAGTAGGGTTTTCATATCTGTCTTGGGCAGAGGATGCCCCAAAATGTAAAACATTCTTTGTCCACTGCTTTGGTTACTTACTTTTTCATAGAGAACCAATGCTTTTTATTTTCTATAGATACCCAGCAGGAGAGAACATGGGAGCAGGAAAAGGCAAATTTCATTATGACTCTGCTCTCAGTACTTTAAAATATATCTCAAAATTGTAAAAGGATTAAAACTTTCTTTTGGCCCCTGCTTTACTTCCTTGCCTGTTTTGCCTCTTGCTGCTGAGATGTGCAAACAAAAGCTTGGATTTCATGGGTAAGGGAACGAGTGACACGTGGAATCAAATTCTAGTTCCGCTGCTTACTAGCTCCGTGACCTTGGGCAAGTAACTTAATCTTCCTCTTTCCTTTTCTACAGACTAAATTAGGAAAGTACCTATCTCATAGTGTTGCGGTGAAGTCCAAATAATTTAATATTTGCAAAGCCACATATGACTTACAAAGTCTGATATCTAGCAATAATGTTAGCAATTGATTATCCTTGCACTCAAAACACTTATAATCCAATTAATAGAGGGAATGCATAATATATCATGTGAAATTTTATGATACATATTGTAAGTACAGCAGAATTGCAGGAGAAAGTGATGACAATATAATTAGCTATCAAAACTAGCATTCGAGCTAGCTTTACCAATATCATATACTTTTGAATCTTTGGACCTTTCTCATGAACCTTTCTTATGTGTTCCTTTTTCCCCCAATTTTGCACTCACAATTCTTTTGAAGCTTTGTTGCAAGTGGGACTCCAGTTGCATTCTGTGTTAGCAGAATCCCTAGCTTGACTGAACATTGAACAAGTGCAGTGACTTCCACTGGAACTCCCATGGAACAGCATGACTAAATGCCAAATGAGAGAGGTGCGCAGACTATGATGCCGAGTCGCAGAGAACTCCAGGCATATTTTCCTAGTAGATGGTTTTGGTTTATTTAAGACTTTAAACACATAATGTAATGATGAGAAAATTGCTGGGAACACAACGCATAGTAAAGAATTGTGGGGATGCCATGAAAAGGTATGCAGATGTTAAAGCAAGATTTTCCTACATCTAACCTTCATCTAGGACAAAAGCATATAACAAGCAAAGTGTAGACACGTCCCCATGCCTGTTCACACACGGGGCCAGGAATACTTTTGAGACACAAAAGTAAATTGTAGGCATGTTAGAGAGGCATTTGGTCAGAGTGTGCTAGGAGCCTAGAGCACAAAACTCTCATTCCAGGTCCAAGTCACCAGAAGATCCAAGACAGGGTACTTATCTAAAGGAGGCTTTAGAATCTCAGTTGCCTAGTCTATAGAATGGGCATAATGATACCTTCTCCACTACATGACAAGGTTTGTCTGAGGGCAAAAAAAAGTGTCTGCAAATTCTTCAAAAACTGTAAAATGCTACAGAATTATACAGTAGTGCTATGATGAGGTTTAGAGTCTCAACAACAAAATCTAAAGTAAAGTCTAATAGGAATCTAAGAACATAAAAGAAGCAATTAAACTGACTATACAGTATAATTGAAAACAAGTACCTAATTTTATCAAGATTTTGTCCATGTGATGGCTAATGTTTGACTAGTGAAGGCCATAGCAGGGAAGAAGAGTTAGCTTCTATTTAAACTACTAATTTAAGAAACTATGCTTAAACTTAATTTTAAAAATTGGGGATATACTTGTTGATTTAAGAAATGCTGTATCGATACACAGGTGTTAACATACAAAGATTTTAGTGGAGCCTGATCTGTTTTGAATTGTAAAGGATGTTATATCTTAACAAATATGTAAGAATATAAACACACTTTTATTTGTTTATGGCCACTAATGACCTTAATCAGGGCAAAATGTTTTACTTCAACCAAACGTTTAAGCAGTCCAGCATATTATGTTTATGACTTTATTCATTTCCCTGTCTATGATGATAATATCTTCAGTATTGGGTTTCTCTATAACACATACTCAGATGCTTGGTCGGGAGAATCTTTATGATAGTATTTGAGACAGCACCTGGCCTAAAGCAGGCCCTTAGAAAGCTATAAGTAAATTGCTGCTAAGACACCTGAGGTTATCCTGGGACTTCAGACGAGCAATGCTGGGGCATTACTCTGGGATCAGTGGACTCCTCCACTTCAGTGAGTCAATAATTATAAAAATGTGTATATGTGTGCATTCTAATAGTAAGCCCGTAGCTTTTGTGGGATTTTCAAAAGGTTAAGAACCAGTCGTCAAAAGGGAATAAGTGGCTTCTGGCTGAGTTAAATTTCAAAGACTTTCTAACAGGAAATATGCTTCTCATCCTAGGTATTAAGGTTTGAGCCTGGCAGCTTCAAGAGGCGGGGCAGAGCTAAGAACATGGCTCTCGTTGACATCCAGTTGGATCACCATGAGCGGTGCGATTGTATCTGCAGCTCAAGACCACCTCGATAAAATAATGTGCACATATGTACGTTAAGCATGAAAGAACCTTTAGTTTAAGGAGAATGTGATGAGACCCTTTTCCCACCAGCAGCCTAAGTAACTACTAGCCTGCAATGCAATGAACACAAGTGGTTGCTGGTTTCAACCTAGCCTTGTTAGTGCTATGACAAGTAGAAAGGTTAATCATCAAGTTCTATATCCAAGACTATAGAATTGCATTTAATAATAGTGTCTGAGAGGATATATATACACACACATATATATATATATCTCCATGTCTGTGTGTAAATAGATTAAATGGTTTATTCAGTATATATCACCAGGTGCAGCAGAGCTTACATATGGTTGAGTGATGTAAACCATTAAAATGTTTTGACAAAATAAGGGACAGGTCAAAACATGTCTTTAGAAAATTAAGATGACGACTTTGCTTATTTTTCAATTTTGAGTCATGAAACAATTTTGGGTTTTGCTCTCTTAAAGAAAGTATCTTGTACATTAAAAACCAAAAGATGAGCTTTTCTTATGTATACATCTTCATTGATTACTTTAAAAAAAAAAAAAAGGAAAAATATGGTTCTGGGAAAAAGGTAAATACCTAACCATGATAATATAGGTGCTTTGGAAACTAAATCCTTAAGTTTTCTTTCTATGCATGTTGCTGAAGCATGTTAATTCATTTAACACCTGTCCCAAAAGAATTACTCAGAAGGTTTGTTATTATCCTACAAGAGACAATTTATAAGCTGTAGAAGAATTTTGAATTTTTTTTTTCCTAAACCCGTCCACAAAAGCAAATCCTTTTGAGGATGGTGGAGGGGGGGATTCTGTATTAACCTTTCAAAATGGTGTTCACTGGAAGATTTGGGCTGTTGAAAGTCAAAAAAGTGAGCATTGAAACATTGACATAACTGGAAATTAGAGTATTTGATATGATCTATATTTAATAATGGATTCAAGCTCTCCAAACTGTGCCAATTAATTTTATGTATCTTGCTATTGTGTTCCTGTATCTTCAATACATAGACATGGATTTACAATGGCATTTTATATTTAGCAAGCCATCATGGATTATTTATAGCCTAAAAGCTTTTGTGTATTACTAAAACAACCAAATTTTATCGATGTAAATTCCTAATCACATATTCACTCCCCATTCTGAATTCCTGTTTCTGAACCAAGTGAAATCAGATCTGGGGGACTTTGTTCTTTCTAAATCTATGGAGCTCATTCTAAGAAGCCAACTGTAAATTGTGGGAGCACAAGTTTGTCCCTGATCTCCCACTAGAAAACTGTTCTGCATTGGTTATTGGCATTTAGATTAAATTTTCCTCCCTGGCTCCTTCATGTTTATTTTAAAGGAGACTGACTCCAGGAGTAGGAAGTGATTCATCATTCCCCAAAGCAAGATGCTTACGAGAGCAATGCTGAAATCAAGATAGCTCATGGGCTGCTCACAGAGAACTGCATTTTTCTTCCTGCCTTGAAAGTAAAAAGGAAAGCCGATTTCTTCTGTGAGTCCAGGGCCCTACTGACTAGCTAGTTTGTGTGGGAGGTATGTGACTGGGCTGGTTAAGTCCCAGTGTCAGATGAGTGGCCTAAATATACTTGGATTACTAAGTATGGTCCGAGTTCTCAACTATCCTTAAGTAGCTCATTTCTTTCCAGCTCTTTGAGAAGAAATGAAACACCTATGCTTATTGAAGATGTATCTTCCAAAACTTTCCTAAAAGTGTCCAGTGTTTTTATTCAGGGAGTGAGTGGTAAAATTAAATACTCTATTTTTTTAGTTCTCCAAAATCCCAGAGCACAATCAGAAATAGCTCAGGCAGTCACTAATAATCAGGAATCACTCTTCCCCTACATGGCCGCTTGCAAGTTTCCTGTGAAAACATTGGCTTCTTATACCAAAATCAAAATGTGTGTTACATCACTCTAGTTTGTATTGCTTACATCATAGCTGTAAATGTGAAAAATTAGAGTGTTCTACCCAATTTTCAGTAAACCTTCCAGGCTGCAATAACCAGATGGTTTTCAGTTAAAGCCCTATCTGTACTTCTTATTTATTAGCTGAAATGTAAGCAGGCATATTCACTCACTTTTCTTTGTCTTTCTGAGTGTTTTATTAAAACTTCTCCTGTGGTTATCTGTTGTCTCTTGCGCTTCCAACATGTAGCCAATAAATCTGTTTCATTCCATCAAGAAATAAAAAGCTCACCATACAAATTACATTTCAAAACAAACCTAATAAATTCACATTTCCGCATGGCTCACTCTCCTGGAATAATGCCTTTCATTCAATATGTTCTTATAGGGCAGAACACCTCCATGACCAGAGGTTTTTATGTTTTTTGGCATATCGGTAACATGCAGCTTTTTCCTCTCATAGCATTTTCTACAGCAAATGTAATATGCCTCTTATCTTCATGAAAAATAAATATTGCTTTTGAACAAAACTACTCCATTATTTAGTACTCAATTACAGTTTTTAAAGGTGCACAGTGTTACAAACTTACTTTCACAAATGCTTCCAACTGTTTGGAATGACAAGATTGGGTGATTTCCCAGGGCTTCCTCTTATGATGCTGAGAGTGTTGCAACACCCTGTTCCTCAGTCACAGGCTTCTGTTCTGTCCCTGTTCTGCAGCCACACAGTAAGATAGGACTTGGGTTGTATTGTTTTGTTGCCGTTGTTGTTGCTTCTTCATGTGGCTGTTTGTTTCCCCGTAGGTCTTTTAATGAGTTATATTCTCCTCTGACATTGCTCACCTGAGGGAGTTCACATCCTCTCTCCTCCTTGGAGCCTGTAATTGACATCACAGCCCCATTTCCCTTTTGCCCTCCCTGTCCCCTTTTCTCACGTAGACGGACACCCCAGCAAGCCGTTCCGGGAGACCAGTGTAGGGGCTACACTCCTGTAGCATTTAGTTTATTATTTGTGACCCTTCAAAAAGGGTCAGAGAGCACAAAGCACAAAGAAAACTCTTCTAGCTGTAAGAATTTTTGCTTTTGCCTGTAGCTTTGTCTTGATTATCATCCCACGGGAGAGGATAGCAGCTGCACAGTGTTGGGTGAAACTCTGCCACTTGAGTTTAGTGGTTTTAGGTTGCTTAGGGAATGGGAGTGAAGACATATTCTGTGGCAAGAATCAAATTTATTATCAGCAATACCAGCTAAAGTGTGAGTCAAAGTGAGCAGGAGGGATGGAAAAAGGATCAAATAATTCTGTGTATAATAGTTAATTCAGATAAGTTAGGTTTTTGTGTAAAAAGTCATAGTGGCCATATATAAGCAGCATTTTAATGCAGATACATTAAGAATTTTATTTCATTTCCTAAAATGTGCATGTGTCTACTTTTACTCTAAGAGTAACTCAACAGATGTCCAAATTGTTCATATTCTTTTAGTGTCCCCTGGTAGAACATTAAACTAAAATTCATAGATCAGTATTCATGCCTGAAATCCTAGGAATGACAATTTTGTTTTTGACATCCCTGATCAAATATATGGAAAGACAGAATATTTACAATTCAACTGGTTTTATTGACATTCACTCAAATTCTTTTTTTATTTTCACTTTTTAAACATTTTTTTATTATCATTATTACTATTATTTTATTTATTTAGGTTTATTTATTATTTTTTTTCACATTCTATGATGTTTTACGTTCTATGATGTTGCAGAGGGGGAGAGGGGAAAGGGAAGGAAATAGGGTGGGAGAAGGAGGAAGGTGGAGGGGTGGGCTTGAGGCCTATGGCACCCCCCTCATTCCTGCAGGGGAGACCAGGGAGCTTCCACTAGTGGCCCAGTCATTGCTGAACTGGGTGCAGATGTCAGAGGGGTGTGGCTGAAGCCCACACTCCCCCAGCACCCCAACTCAGGGTGCTTCCTGTGGTGACTTGGTGATCATTGCTGGGCTGGTTGTGAGTGTTGGTGGGGCGTGGCTGAGGCCCCCAGCCCTCCAACTTCCCTGGCTTAGTAGCTGGGAGGACTTCCAGTCCCTCTAGGTTTTAAAAGTGTTCTTTGGTGATATGAGACCTTTACTGGTTAATATCAAACTTTGTCTCTGATTTGTGGGTATTTTGTTTCTTTCTTTCAGTTCCGTGTTGGATTATTTGCTGTTCCTATCACTTAAACTCTGCACTAGAACTAATTTGTTGTCCTTTGCTTACTTCTAAAATGGAGGAACTTCCTGTGGGGACCAGTACTTGAGCTCTGTGGTTGAGCTAAGTTGTTGCTTTGCTGCTGATTCCCTGAGGAAGGCTTTTTATGCAGCTCAGGTTTTAATGGTTGACTTTATAGTTACTTTCAGCTCTTGTGAGATCCAGTACACCTGGGTTGTGTAGAAACTCTGGTCTGGACCTGAGTCTTTTCAGCAAACTGCACCCCCTGCAGTTCTATATTCCTGAGCAATCTCCACTGAGTGGTCCTACACTGATTGGGGGCAGATCAGCTGTCCTTGCTATGCCCCAGTGTTCTCCCAGTGGGTCCATCTCCTCTGCCTGCACTCTAAGCACTTCCCATGGGATGGGCCATGCGCTATTCCCTTGCAATGACTCACCGGCCTCTGAGTGGCTCTTTTTTTTTCAGTTGTTGTGGCTCCTTGCTCCTGTGTGGGTCCATGGGAACCCTATTAGTAGTCTTGCTGACCTGGGGGCCACCAAGGCCCTCTTCTCCCCTACAGTCTCCAAGCAACTGCATGTGAAGGACACAGCTGTAGTTTTTGCCAGCTCTTGCTCCATGCACTCACCAGCTCCAGCCTTGAAGCGGCCAGGGCTCAAAATGGTAAGACAATTCTTTTGTTTTTAAAGATCAAGTTAAAGACTACAAACAAGGTCTTCAAAATTTAACATAGCACACTGGGATATCTCAAATAAAATAGACATTAACAAAGAGTAAGCAACTAACTGTTTAATTTAAGACTTTATGCTTGTTTTTCAAGTTATATTTCTGAATTTACAGATTATTTTGTATCTTTTTTGAGTAAATTTTATTTCTGCAGAGATGTCTAAATATTCTTGAGCAGATCTCAATAGAAGAGAATGGAGCTAAGTCCATAATAAAGGTTAATGTACTCAGTGCAGCAAGTTATGGACCAAGAAATCTTTATTTCCTAATAAAATCATTTGGCTTTCCAATTATTTGAAGTTGTTAGATACTGGTTAACAGGTTTAGTGGCCAGAAACCAAATTCTAAAGTCTTTCTTGGATTTAATTTACATTTTAGATTATACCTGCAATATAAATTTTCTTTTCAGAACTAAAGTTCCTGGGTTCTATTCTCTGTCTCTTTGGTTGAGGCCATATTACAAATTCTTTCTCTTCTAGCCTTTTAGTCTTTTCTAGGCTTTCCTTTTCTCCCTCTGACTTCCACATTCCACCCCTTTCTCACCAGCCTCTACCCACCAGTCTTTAAGGCAGAGAAAACCAGGATCAATGTCTGCTTTTGGGAAGGCACGGAAGGTAGATCACTTGAGAAGCTCAAAGGCACAGCTTCCCAAATGAATGATTAATAGGGTAAAATTGTCCACTGTTTTAAGAAATACTGATTCTTGAGAGTTGAAAACATCAAGTGAATAATTTCCAATATTGTCCATTTTGGTAAAACTTTAGAATATAATGATGACTATTTATTGATTCTATCAAAGGAAATTTAGCCACAGTCAATATGGGGGAAACTGACTAAACTAAATGTTTCATTCATTCATTCATTCATTCATTCAACAACAAATGCATTAAAGCCCACTATGTATCAGGCATGCTTTGGGGTTCAAAACACAAAGAAGATACGAACAGAGGATAAAATCGAAGGTGGGATAAACAGAAAGAACAAACATCCCCCAGCAAAATGCACAAGGTGAATGAATGTGGGCAGCCATTCATTCATTCATTCATTCAACAACAAATGCATTAAAGCCCACTATGTATCAGGCATGCTTTGGGGTTCAAAACACAAAGAAGATACAAACAGAGGATAAAATCGAAGGTAGGATAAACAGAAAGAACAAACATCCCCCAGCAAAATGCACAAGGTGAATGAATGTGGGCAGCTGAAAGAATACAGAGTAAAGTGGCAGAAAGGAAAGGAAAAGAATCTGTAGTGGAACAAGTGATGGTAAACGTGGAAAAGTAGATAAGCAACTAACTACACAGCGTCTTGCCTGGATGGCTAGCAAAGGAGTTTAGTCTTTTACATTGAGGAGAGGAAGCCAGGGGGCTTCTGAGCATAGTGAGGGATCTAAATGTCATAGAGCACCAGACAGAAAGTTAGAAGGTGTTGGGTATAGTGACTGGTCTTCAACTTTCCGGACCTATGTTCCATCGTTTATAAAATCTGATATGTACAGTGTTACATAGGACTCTTCCAGCACAACAAATCTGCGATTCTGCATTTAGGAAAATGGCAATCTACAGGATGAAGTGGATAGGGATATGAGTTATGAGACTCCTCGAAGTTCTAGGGGTCAGACAGTAGGGACGAAATGAGAGTTCAGAGACAGGAAGGGATGTGTGGCTCCTGTGGTTGTGCAGGCTGAGCACTGCAGATCTCTAGGGGGTGCTATTTGCATGAACTAAAACTACAGGAAGGTTAACAAGAGAATACGAAGGTCTTAGTGATTGGGTGGGGCAGGGAGTGCAGGCTTGGGGGTATCCTGAAAGAAGGAGTCATGTCCGTTCGAATTTCAAGAGTATTCTCCTGGGGAAACTATGGAGGCAGGGAGCAGAGGCCAATTTTGAGAGCATGTCTCTCAGAAGAGGAGCCCGGGCTTATAATGTTGACTGTGAGTCATCTTTATAGTGGTGAATCTGAAACTATGAGAAGAAAAGGACAGAACCTGAAGGACATCCATCATTATACACGAGGAAAGAAGACACATTCACAAAGTTCCCAAAAATGGGTCCAAAACTTTGCTAAGTACTTACCAAGGTTTAGTTAAGTGCCCAGCCCCAGGCTAGGCACAACAGATTCACAGAATGATCAAACAGATGTGTTTCTTCTCCTTTTCGAACTAGAAGAGGGAGGGTAGATACTAAACAAATAATTACACAGGAATCCATTGTATTTGTGAATAGCAAACGCAAAATGTGGGATGCTAGTAAAGGGTGGAATCTAGATCAGAGAACAGAGAGGGATTCCTTGAGAAGGTGACATTGGAGCAGGAAAAGAAAGCTGAATGTCAGACAGGAGGAAATGTGAAAAGACATGGTGGCATTAAGATGATGGTATTAGAAATGAAAAAAAAAAAAAGCCTGTGACTAGATTAAAGAAATGTATTGAGTGTTTAATTGACCATTAGATTAGATTAGATGGATTAGAGTGAGACAAAGGAGAATGTCAAGGATTTTTTTAGGGTTTCTGGCACAACAAACTGAGCAGTTAGAGAAGCCACTTACTGAGATGGGGAAGGCGGGATGAGGAGGAGATATGTGGTAGCTTAGAAATTCAATGTGAAAT